TATATTTATACGAGGCTTGTTCAATTGAAACCCATCTTTGGTCCAGAAAAAAAATGATTGGCAAATATATCTACAAATAATTACCACTGCAATCAAGGCACATAACCGATTGTTCATAGACATTCACAGACACAACTAACCTTGCAAAGTGTCAGTTAAGTGATTAGAATTGTTTCCAAGGCTAACCTGAACAAAGAAGAACTTTGAGGTAACGTTGAGTGTATTATTTTGGCTACTTGATTATTATTCTTATCATTGAAATTACATTTATGAGAAAAAAGTGTTCGAGTAAGCAGCAGATGATATCTACGTAGAGAAATGGTTTTCAGCCTTTTAACCAGGCGGCTGTTGAAACCGTCTAAACAACAACATTGAAGCTAGTAGGGATTGAATGGAAGTACATGAATTAAATGTAGCTTTAGTTCCACGAGTATAGGGATCAACCCTCGTACACTATTAATTCTACAACTAAGTCATGGAAGACAACGACAAGCAACTCAAATTCTCCCGGCTGACTTTGAAATGGCTGTGACGGCAGGCATCTCACTCCTGGTAATGGATTTGAATAGAGCTATCAACAATTCTGTTCTGCGGAAATGGAGACGTATCCGTCTGAGAGCTCGAATTTCCCGGTTTCCACGCTAGTGAAACTTTCTAATCTCTCCGCAAACTAATGGCACCGAGCAAGTAAACACACACTTGACGAGCTGTCCATGAATGTAATTTATAGCTCTCAAGAATGCACTGAGGCGCATTCCATTCTACGTAACGCCGCCTGATGCATAAGCCGTTTTTTGTTGACTTTGAAGAGTAGCTCCAGTTCCATTGTGATGGATTTGGGGGCATAAGTTTTGCTTGAAATTCTGAAGAGCATTGCCGGTTCGGGAAATGGTGGGGAGAGCAAAACAATCCTATTCACATACCTAATCAATTCGAATACTGCAAAAATACGTCTAACTGTTCGATAAACTTTTAGGACTGAGGAAAATTCCACTATGGCTATCAAATATATAATAATAATAAAAATAGTAAAGTTGATGTTTATTTGTTAAATGGAATTATTCTGGTCAGGTATTTACCCATACGAAGCATTGTCATTGATATCTGATATATTTTAATATACTGTTAATTATTATTGAGTATACATGGTGTTTCAGTTTATTGTTGCATGACTTTAAGATTCGATAGAACTTTTAAAATTAATGCATAAAGTCTATATAAACATGGGTCGAAAAATGCGTTGCTTCCGAAATACAGAGTGTTTAAATTTACTTTCTAAAATAGTTTTTTTTAAATATTTCGAACAATATTTGATGTATAACAGTGAAAATTGGTATACAAGGGTTTTTTGGTACGAAAAAACGAATCATGGGCATAGTTTTACTGTAGCCGCTAGAGAGCGCTCTCTACTGTACCTGTAGTTTATTAAAATGACCGAAAAAATTTTCTTAGTGCAATTTTCTGCTTTTTGAATAAAAAAACTGATTCTTCGCACTTTTCAACATAAAAAAGCTCTCTCGTGAATTTTCGTTATAGTTAGCCGTTTTTGAGATATTTCGATTTTTAAGGTTCGATGCATTTTTAATTATATATGGGAAAATAATAGTTTTTTACATTTTCGATTTGGGCATTACAAGTAATTAAGATGATCGTTTAGATTGTGTTTTTAAACACAGCAATAATTCCTAACTCCAAATAAACACAAAAAAACAGAATATTAATTTGTTTAATATTCCAATATTATTTTTAACAAATTAAATTAATTATTTACAACTAAAATGTTATTGGATAGTTAGGACAAGCATACAAAATCTAAAGTAGTTGCTCGAAATGTAAACCCAATTGTTCAATAAACAATTCACATCTACGAATGATCGAACGTGGTATAGCATTATTCAAATAAGGCCTTATTTCATCACATGCATTCCTGATTCTGTCTATTAGCATATCTCTTGTGGTTACGGAAGTCTGGTACACTTTTTCTTTTAGAAATCCCCACAAAAAAGAATCTAATTGATTTAGGTCAGGGGATGGTGGAGGCCAGGCGACTGGTCCTCCACGGCCGATCCATCTTTCTGGATAATTTCCGTCCAGCCAGTTTCAACCTATTCTCGAATGATGAGCTGGACAACCATCAAGCTGTAACCAGGCCAATCTTCTTAAATCTAACATAACATCATCCCACATATTTGCATGTTCAGCCTTTAAAAATTCCAAGAATGTCGCAGCATTTAACCTTGCAGGCAAAAGGTAGGGTCCAAATAGTCGATTACGGTAGATACCAATCTACACGTTCACACTAAATTCATGCTGAAAATTTCTTTCCCGAACTGCATGCGGATTTTCATGCGACCAAATATGTCGATTATGAAAATTTACCACTCCACGTCTAGTAAAGCATGACTCATCGGTTCATAAAACGTTACTTAAAAACTCCCTATTATTATCAGTTCTATCAAGAATCCACTGGCAAAATGTGATTCTTCGTTCTCCATCCCCTGGCTGTAGTCCTTGCACAGGTTGCAAATGGTAAGGACGTCTATGGTCATTTCTAAGAACACGGTGAACATGGCTTGCTGAAATTCCCAAGGCGCCAGAAACACTCCTAACACTTGTGGTCGGATCTCTATCAAACTCACGCAGAATCATACGGGTAAATCTGCGCTGACGATCATTTGTGTTTTGATCTCTTTGGAGATTTCCAAAACCATTTTCAATTATTTGGCGATGCACTCTTACAAATACTGAGCGAGTTGTGTGTCGTCTGTTTGGAAATCTTCGTGCGTATTCTCTGGCTGCTTCTGCTGCGTTTCCATTTACAAAGCCATACACAAAATGAATATCCGCTAACTCTTGATTGGAGAATAAAAATGGCATTTTTATAAAACTTACAAAAAAAAAACAGGTAAAAGAAACTAAATTTCGTGCATTCACAATTGCAAAAAAACGTTGCAGGTTTCAACAGACAATAAAACTAACTGTCAACTAATTGAAGTTTAACCTTATTCTGCTTTCAATTTCAAAAGTATTTGCAGGCACAGCCTACTTCTAAAAATCAGCGAGATACTGACTTTTTAACGTATTTCATCATAAATAATTAAAAATGCATGGAACCTTAAAATCGGAATATCTCAAAAACGGCTAACCATAACGAAAATTCACAAGAGAGCATTATATGTTGAAAAGTGCGAAGAATCAGTTTTTTGGTTCAAAAATCGGTCATTTTAATACACTACAGGTACAGTAGAGAGCGCCCTCTAGCGGCCACAGTAAAACTATGCCCATGGTTCGTTTTGTCGTACCAAAAAACCCTCTCGTATACCAATTTTCACTGTTATACATCAAATATTGTTCGAAATATTTAAAAAAACCTATTTTAGAAAGTAAATTTAAACACCCTGAATTTCGGAAGCCACAAATACTGAGCGAGTTGGGTGTCGTCTGTTTGGAAATCTTCGTGCGTATTCTCTGGCTGCTTCTGCTGCGTTTCCATTTACAAAGCCATACACAAAATGAATATCCGCTAACTCTTGATTGAAGAATAAACTTACAAAAAAAAACAGGTAAAAGAAACTAAATTTCGTGTATTCACAATTGCAAAAAAACGTTTCAGGTTTCAACAGACAACAAAACTAACTGTCAACTAATTGACGTTTAACCTTATTCTGCTTTCAATTTCAAAAATATTTGCAGGCACAGCCTACTTCTAAAAATTATCGAGATACTGACTTTTTAACGTTATTTTATCAGAAATAATTAAAAATGCATTGAACCCTAAAAATCGAAATATCTAAAAAACGGCTAACTATAACGAAAATTCACAACAGAGCTTTTTATGTTGTAAAGTGCGAAGAATCAGTTTTTTTATTCAAAAAGCAAAAAATTGCACTAAGAAAAAACTTTCGGTCATTTTAATACACTACAGGTACAGTAGAGAGCGCCCTCTAGCGGCTACAGTAAAACTATGCTGACGGTTCGTTTTGTCGTACCAAAAAACCCCTGTATACCAATTTTCACTCTTATACATTAAATATTGTTCGAAATATTTAAAAAAAAACTATTTTAGAAAGTAAATTTAATCTCCCTGTATTTCGGAAGCCACGCATTTTTCGACCCATGTTTATATAGACTTTATGCATTAATTTTAAAAGTTATATCGAATCTTAAATATATACATGTGTATTATGAGTAGAAAAATGCACTGCAATCATCGCGTAAGTGGCGCTACATATGTGGTAACAGTAACATATATTAGTATATAAGGCAATCAACTGAGATTATCATAATCAACTGCGAAATTTAATACAGATGTTCAAATGACGAAATGCAATAATCTAGTAATCATAAATTCAAATATTACAAAATCAAAAGACTACTCAAATGTAAACATAGACTTTGATAAATTTCTAACAATATAAGTACTCGAATTATACAAATCAAGCCAACTACTGTGTTCATTACATAGTTTAGATAATCTAAAAACAGGAGAATGATTTATCAGATCTGATTTAGGTGGCATAACATGAAAATAAACAGTATTACGTCTTAACATTCTTGGTGGCACATAAAATCTGAATTTTGACAATAAACTGAAATTATCAATAATGTTATTAAATAAATTATAAGAAAATAAAACATCAATCCTGTTCGTAGAAGGGGTGGTATATAGACCACACTAATGAAAAATGAGTTTTTATACGCTCAATAACTTGTTCATAAGAGTTAATAGCTAAAATACTCAATAAATTTTTGACTGCAATCAAAACACCACCACCAGATTTCTTCACACTTGTAAATAAAGACCTATCACATCTGTACACAGTAAAATCTTGGAGTTGTAATTCAGCAGTAGTAATGTTTTCATCAAGCTAAGTTTCAGTCAAAACTATAATGTCATATTCATTAATAAGACATAATCTGGAGTAAAACTCATCAAGCCTTCCTCTGACACTACGAATATTTTGGTAAAAAATCCTCAAATTATGGTAACTATCATATAGTCATTCAGTATCTTCATCATTCTCATTTAATTGATTATCAGCAACAATAGATTTAGCAATCGTTGGTTTACCTCTGATATGTTTAATTTTTAAGTCCTTTTCTCCCTTGGCAGATCTATGCTTCACTCCATTTTTAAGTTTCTGCATGTGAGCTTGTTGTTTTCTTGTAAGATCACTACTCTCAAAAACATTATTTTTAAAAATTTCACTACTATAATGATAAATCCAGTGTACATTATCAGAGGATTTCATAACAACTTTGACTAATCTATTCTTTCCTTCAACAAAATCACGTCCAAGTCGAAAAACTTTAAGATCATCAAAGTTAAATGGAATAACAACCTTTGTATCTTCGAGCAATTTCTTTATTTTCACAGAATCAGTAGCAGTTGCATTCACTGAGTCATCAAAGTTATATATAATAAAGTTCTTCTCTCTATTCATCCTATCTTTCATTTCATCATATAAAGACTCGCCAGTAACAATCTCTTCAAGTGTATCAACCTTTTTTTCAAGTTCTGTTAGCTTGTTGCTGAAGGATTGAATATCTGACAATGACGCATCTACTTTGTCAAGCCTTTTCAAAATAAGTTGAAATCCAGGATCTAGTCCAGCAAAATCTTCATCATGAACTTGACCACCAGTACCACAACAGTAATTATAACTTCCATCAGGCAACAACTTTGACCTGTTACCACATGACTTATGATGATATATAGAGCAAGATTTACATTGAACAGCATTCTTCAACAGAATAGGTCCCTTGTCAGGACACATCAGACATTTACTCATGATGATGACAATAATAAAAAAAAAACTGAGCTACTAGTCCTTGTATTCTCACAGAATGTGTCGCAAAAAAGTGACTTCTTACGTTGGTTCGATAGAAAATAAAGAAGATTTCAAGTAACTTCGTTTAAACAGATTGCATGCAGGTCTCACCTCACAGGATTGTTAACTGCACTTATTAGTAATATTTGCACGAAGATTCCAAATTTTTTGGCCACTTTTTACCACTCAAAACTATGAATTTTCAGCAGAACCCCAAACACGACACATATCATACCCGTGGCGTATCACACATCATATAACATTCTTTATTATTTAATGAGGAGCAATCTGTTGTGTTATTTATATTACATTTTGTATTTCACGCAGTACAAATTATTATTATATGCTAGCTATAGCTAATATAGCCCCGTTGATACTCTAGGACGCAGAACTACGTTAAATATGCTTATTCTACAAAAATGTTGGAATTTCCCTTTTTAAAATATACCTATGTTGCCGCCAGCTTCCACCAAGAACGTACCCACACCTTTTCCGTCATGTTTATTTACTGGTGTCATCGGGCGGTCGCGAGCGAATAAATGCAAACTTTTACCACGATTAAAAGCTTCTTGATAATATCACATATTATATCAAAGATGGAGTATTTATAGCTACTACTTCATTAACGTATTTATTCTACCTGAGTATAGTTAACCTAATACTGAATTTAGGCATCCAAAAAAATATTCTAGATAAAATGAGATACCGTGGCGTCAAGAACTCTTCGGAAAATATACTAAAACGGACCGATTGAAATAAGTTAAGACACCAATTTGAAAATTATCATAATCATAATTCCTTCGTGAGTGGATTTACAATCAGTGCCCGTATGCTCGAGAGTCCTGGGTCTGTTCTCTCGACTGTTTGAATACGTAAAGCAGGGAATGATAAAAAAGCCTCGAGAGAGCCGTTGGGAACCCGGAGAGCGAAGAGAACCCCCTCTTTTGCGTATACATCTATCTCGAGCCGCTTCCTCTGGCACGACAAAAGCGTCGAAATCCTTTTGATAAATTGCCACAATCTCAACGGTAGCATGCACGTAGAGTCCTAATTACGCCCCTCTCCCCCATATTTCCCCCCTCTTTTCACTGTGCTTGCCTTTGACATCGTCAGCGTTGGAATTCCGTGTTTCCAGTTACAGGACATTTTACAAGAGCTGCTGCAGGATTGTGTTTATCCCTGTTCGCCCCTCTTCGACTATGAATGCCATAAATAAACTCTACAGATTTTCTTGAAAGGGTTTGAACCATTTAAAGGGAGCAGGTGTAGAAAATTGGTTTAATATATAGGTGCCCCATGGTTACAAGTGTTGTGTAAAGGCTATCTAGATAACTTTAATATCTCTGATTAATAACAAAATTAAAAACGAAATTAAAATAGCTTTAGGGTCACTTTCATCAGCATTAATATTTGACCGTCAGCCTGGACCAGTTGTTAAAGAGATCGAAATGCAATTTGACGGAAGCTTTATATTAAAGTATTGAATAAAATCTTGAGAAGGCGACCGTATTATAAACAAGAGCACTTTCTGATTCCAACATGATGCTTTTGTATAGAAAAAACAGGACTACTTTCATGTATTTTGATTTTGCTTATAAATTTACATATAACAGCTCGGTCATCTGTTTAGCCAATGGGAATGGAAAAAATAATAGGTCGATATTCTAGGTGTTAGATTTTTATAGCAGGTTTGGACGTTTGTTAATGCATGACAATCTCGAATCTGTTAAGTTTAATATATTGAGTGTTTATCTGTTATCATTATAGCTACATACCTGTTGAAATATACGGATTTGTTTGTATTTAGCATGTAAATACAGGGTGTCCGCAAAGTTGGGGTTTTCCTTTACACGACGTGTAGATCTTGAAAACATAAGCAATTTTTCTTAGTACCATATACACCAATGTCTTAAGGGAACCGAGATAAAGGGCTCTGCAACATCAAAAATATCTGAATACCGTCCTGTAGCCGCGACCCGGGACATCACCGATTGGTACAAGGTCTCAACCCGACGGCAGAACTGGGTCGGAGTCAGTGTGTCAGGTCGGTATGCAACCTTCAACCGACGGTTCCGGTCACGCGTGTAGAGGTAATCGCGTAGACGAGAATCCCTCAACAAGCACTAGAAACGTGACTAGAGAAGTTTAAGTATCAAAAACTAAAGTGTGGCAAACGCTGCGTGAAGAGGGGCTGTATCCGTTTCACGTCCAACGTGTACAAGACCTTCAATCTGACGATTTTCCAGCAAGAGTTCACGCGTAATGGGGTGAATAACTTTCGCAACACTCATGTTTGGTCAGTAGAAAATCCGCACGCTGTCCGTCGGGCACATTTTCAACAAATATTTTCGGTGAATGTTTGGGCTGGCATGGTGAACGGTATGCTCATTGGACCATTTATTCTCCCAAATCGATGGGACGGGATGCAATACCTAGACTTTTTACGCAACATTTTGCCTTCCTTGTTAGAAGATGTGCCATTAAGTGTAAGACAATCAATGTGGTTTCTGCGTCTGCTCGGTAGCGCTTCAGCTGATTTCATTTTCTGTTGGAGCGGTATGATTTCGGGCAGAGACGTACTTATCCCTTCCCGTCAACTGGAGATTGAATACTTTTTCCTTTATTTTTTTTTACTTGGTCGCCCTCGTTTCACTACACATTCCAAGGGTAGTTGTTTCTGAAAAGGAAAACCCCAACTTTGCGGACACCCTGTATAATATAAAATGTATTCCGACCAATCCCGCATCTTTCGTTATAGTTCGTCTGTTAATTGCGTAATAATCAGTTTGGCGTGTTTAATGTTTTATTATGTCCCAGGGACATGCAACAAAGTGCCTTTGATTTTTTGTCTCGCAAACGAAGCGAAATATGCAAGAAACTTACGAGATAGAAAAGTTGTATTTTTAGGTTCTTAATCCAGAAAAAAAAGTAGAAAACTGAAAAGCCAGTCGAGCACAAATTTTTTATCAAAGATACAGGTTATGGCGTTTTCCGGGACACCATTGGAATTAATAATTCAAATAATTGGGGCTAAATTGCTGACCCTAATACCATTGCTAACTTTAAACAAAAGCTGTGTGTTGTACACAGAGCTGTATCCGATTTAGAGGACATTTGGTTTGGCGTGCCCCAGGGTTCAATTTTTGGTCCAGGCCTTTGTGTAGCATATACTGATGACACATCACTGATATGTGCAGACCGCAACCTAGCTGTGTTCGAAAAAAGAGCTACTGTCAATTTAGAAAAGGCAAACAAATGGTTCACTGATCATTATCCAAAATTAGACAAAGAGAAGACTGAAAATATGATCTTATCCAATAGTAGGTCCATAACGATAGGTAAGATGAGCTAGAATCCTTGGAATATTTTTAGGTGCATCATTAAGTTGGATTCATGCCTTCGTGGCTTCAAATCTCAGTCTACAAGTATTAAAAAGTTGCTACTTTAGGCTATTCCATTCACAGTTTAGCTATGGTATAACAGTATGGGTTAGTTATAGCTAAATAAATAAGCTATTCAATATTCAGAAGAAAGCCATTAGAATCATGATCGGTCTAGGATATTATAATTCTTATAGAAATGATAGTAAGGATAACATAAAAATATAAATAAATACTTCACAAGTTCTAACTTAAGTTCACTTGCAACATTTCAATCGAAGATTGCATAACAATTAACAGGTGTGTTGTGTGTGGGTTCTCGCGTTTTTTTTGTTATTATTTTGTTTAGGGCTTTTGGTGTTTTCGGGGCGACGGACGAGGGTTACGTATCTGGTACATTGAAAAGCGACAGCTAGACTCATGCTCGCTTGTCGTTTTGGGGGGCTGGACATTCTTTTTTGGGAACGAGATTGCCTACCAGAGGCGGTCCTAGGCTATGCTGAATTTGACTGGTGCCATCTTAAAATTCGGAATGATGAGTTCACGCAATCTCAGCATGTTTGTTTATTTGCTAATAATAATAATAATAATAATAATAATAATATTTATTTACTCAATGTACAAAGATAACAAACAATATGAGTAAATAAATATAAAATCAAAACAGGCCCAATAGAAGGCATCGCCTGTACATGGACCAATAATTTAAGTTGAAACTGTAGAATGCAAATGACAAAAAAGGACAAAAATTAGCTACAGTAGATTATGTATTTAGTTGATGTTCGTATTTATGAGTTTATGAATTTCAGTCCTAGATATAGAATGTAGCCACTTTTTTAAATTTCTTTTGAAACAATTTCCGAAACGTAAATCTTTTAAGTCTTTAGGTATAATTTCATAAAATTTAGGCGCTAAATAGAGATATGATCGCTGCATTATAGATTTATGCGGTTGAGGAACTACTGTGCCACGAATTTTGTATCTGGTATAATGATTATGTTTAATTTTTTGGTCGGTGTTTACAAATTTATGGTAGTGAGTGATACTGTGTAAGAAATAAAGCTGTCTTATATCATACATTCGAACATCTGCATATAATTTTTCAGTGGGATAAAGTTTCGGTTTTTTAAATATCATTTTTAGAATACATTTTTGAAAAACATCTAAATTATAGATATGTGAGGAACATGCAGCTCCCCATGCTAATATACCATATGTGAGATGAGGCTCAATCAGTGCATGGTATAATGTTTGAAGATATTTTTCTGTCAATATTTTCCCAAGGTATTTAATTTTGTAGGATACAAATCTAACTTTCTTTAAAATATAATTGACATGGATGTCCCATCGTAAGTGAGGATCCAAGACCATTCCAAGGTATTTTATGTTGGGCACTCTATTAATTTGCATTATTTGATCATTAATATTGAAGGAGAAATTTGTGTAATTTGGCAGATGTCTAGCATAAGATCCAAATGGTAAAAAATGTGTTTTAGAGTAGTTAATGCTTAATTTTCTACTGTTAAACCACCGAATAATTTTGATAAAATCATTTTCAATTACATTTTTCAGATCAGACCA